ATCTGAAGGAACACCTGTGCAGCCCCCGAGAGAGCCGGCCGGCGGTGTGCTGCTCCCCCGCGGAAGTGGGGAAAGTGGCAGGGGGAACCGCCCTTCCACGGAGGTGGAGGGGTCGGCAGCCAACCTAGGAAGGACCAGCAGCCAACCCGGGAAGGGCCAAGCAGACAAAAGAACAGCGCAGGGTCCTGTGTCGTTCCTCCGCGAATGGGGGAGCGACACCCCTGCCATCAGATTTGAGCAGAGAGATCAGTACTGCCTGGCGCTCAGAGCAGGGCTCACACCATCGGCTCTCCTGGGTCTCCAGCCTTGCTGGCTTGCGACTTGCCAGACTTCCAAGAATGGCCAGAAGAAAGCTTAGAGTTTGTGATCATTGCATTAAAAGGGCAATGGGCTTGGTTCCCACTTAGCAAAACAGCTAGTCAGACATACTTAGTACCTGGCATGGGTAGTGATGTGTGCAAGACTTGGACCCATCACATGAAATCTAAAAGGCAAGACCCCTGCCCCGAGATGGCTTGTGTTCCTCTTTGCACGTGGAAATACTGGAGCAGTAAAACCATGCAATGGAGAGGTGAAAGCAAGTCCCTGGGGGCAGGCTCCAAGGTGCACACCCAGGTTTGTGGGTAGCCAGATTGCTTTCCCTGGGAGAGGACCAGAGAGAGTGGAGCAGGCTAGAGAGGGTGGAAGACTTTGCTCTGATTACTGCAGGAGACCTTCTGTGGGCATGCCGGGAAGCCCTGCAGAGCCCGGGCTGGCTGTTCACAGCTGTGCCCATGACCGTGCAGATTTGTGGGCTTCCCTTTTCCTGAACACAGCCCTCCCCACCCCACCCCTGTCCTGGGAGAACTAGCAGGTGGCTCAAGCAGGCTGCTGTTCTGTTTCTTGGCGTGGCCTGCATGGCCGCACCGTGTCACGTGAGCATGCTGGGGGAGGACACAGCAGCCACGCTTTCATTTTGTGCCCGGTCAGCAGGTGTGTGCTGGTAGTTCTCTGCCTGCCATGGTCCACTACAACTGCTGTGTGTAACTGCTGGTGCCTGCGGCCTGGGAGTGTCACTGTCGTAGTCACCGGTCCCGGAGGGCTGAGGACTTTGTGTGAGGGAGATACAGTGGGTGTCCCCGAGTGGAAGGATGAAATAAAATAGCCTCTCACGTCCTGCATATTACTCACTCCCTGCTCCTTCCTAGGTCTCCTTCCCCATTCACCGTCAGAGTGTGTCTGTCCTCGCTGGCGCGCAGGTCCTGGTGTGACTCCCTGAATTCACACCTCCAGTCCCGGGAAGTCTGTCTCTGGGGGCTGTGTCCTCTCCTGCATGGTCTGTGGGCTGCTGGGGCAGTAGCTTCCTAACAAGGGTCCTGGGGCAGGGTTGCATCAGGAGAGTAGAGCCGCAGTGCAGGATGCTTCTTGGGACTGTGGGAGGAGCCAGGCAGGGAGGGCGTGAGGGGCTGGGGGATCTGAGAAATGTTGTTGAGCAGCCATCCTGAAGCCCCAGCATAGGCAAGTGAAGCAAGGGGCACCCGGAAGCTGGGAGGGGGCACGGGAGGAGCTGGTGGGATAGTTGGACATGTGACGTCCAGGTCAAGGTCTGCTGCTCTGGCCGGGGCCCTTGTGGTTGGCAGGATGAGCAGGACACAGCGGAAGGGAGTGTGGCTCTGCAGGTGCTTGTCCCCAGAGATAACCATGCTGACCTCCTGCCAGTCCTAGGCTGAATCCCTCTTCTGGTGACTGTCCACCTGGAAGAAGGTTCTAGAAAGTTCAGTCCTGCCAGCTCATGTTGAATCCAGGTTAATCACCTAGCACAGCTGGTCACAGTTGGATCTTGTGCAAGGTTTCTTCAAAAAGACAATGAAAATGAGAAGGGAGTTTATTTTGATGTTCACAAAAAAAATCTCTGGAACCCATGCAAAGTTCTTTCTTTCATAATATGCAATGTCCATGAACTCTCTAAAGACTGTTTGTATTTCAGTCTTTGAAGAATCATCTGGAAAGTGCAAAGCTGCTCCCAGGCCTGTCATGGTTGGAGGGCTGTGAGCTTCAGGGGTGAAGCCCTGACGTGTTGCCCCCGACCAGGGGAAGTTCAAGGTTGATGCCCTGGAGCAGGGAATCATTCTACAGCTCTGTAGGGTAAACGAAGTGTAGCCTAGACCGTGTTTTGTGAGGCACCGGAAGAGAGGGGTGATGGGGGGCGGAAAATGCTCGCTGTCCTGACTTGCTTGTTACCCACTGTAGACACGCATCACGTGCTCACACTGTAACCCTGCAGATGTGCCGTTACTGAGTGGCAATCCTAAAGAAAAACAGGGGCCGGCGCCGTGGCTCACTTGGTTAATCCTCCACCTGCGGCGCTGGCATCCCATATGGGCACCGGGTTCTAGTCCCAGTTGGGGCGCTGGATTCTGTCCCGGTTGCTCCTCTTCCAGTCCGGCTCTCTGCTGTGGCCCCGGGAATGCAGGGGAGGATGGCCCAAGTGCTTGGACCCTGCACCCGCATGGGAGACCAAGAGGAAGCACCTGGCTCCTGGCTTTGGATCGGCGCAGCGCCAGCCGTAGCGGCCATTTGGGGAGTGAACCAACAGAAGGAAGGCCTTTCTCTCTGTCTCTCTCTCTTGCTGTCTAAAACTCTACCTGTCAAGTAATTAATAATAATAATAATAATCATAATAAAAGAAAAACAAATTGTAAAAAGAATAAACTTCCTGTTTCCCAGGAATGGGCGCCCATCCATCGGCTTCTTCTGGAGGCTGGGGGCAGACTTTGTCCGTGTCTGTGTGCTTGGGTGAACCTCCCAGTTTCTGTTTGTTCTCACTCGGCCTCCAGGGCTCAGCTCAGGGGGGGCCTTTTTACCTGCCCCGCCCCTGTGACTCTCCCCTTTTATTGCTCTCGATTGTAAACGGCTGCATCTCTACCTCCCCCATCCCCACTCCTGATGGTGGCCTCTGCAGCTGTCCCCAGTGGCCAGAACCATGCACATTCTAAGTGCTAAACAAAACTTACCGAATGAATAACCCTGGGCAGATGCTGCAGATTACTGATTTGCTGTGTCCTGAGCCTCATACATGGTCCTAGCTGCTCCTGACATTCCTGGATTCCTTTTGCTTATCCCCTCCTCTTTCAGATACTCCAGGGACTTCTCTTCTAAATCCATGTCACCCCTGTCACAGAGATGGCCAACATCACTCTGCACTCCCCGTGAACGTAGTAGAAGAGAACATTAGGTACTTGGCAGCTGGCTACAGCCAGGAGCTGGGGGCACCACGCAGCAGCATTCATAGGTCCCGGGAAGGTTTATTAGTGTTTCCGTGAGAGTCACTGGAGCCCTGGAAAACCCTACAGCCGGGAGCAGAGAGGTGCTCCTTGGGTCCAGGGACCTCCCCAGGAGAGAAGCCACTGGATCAGTGGGCTGGGCTGCAGCTTTTTTTTTTTTTTTTTTCTGCTGAGACACAGGAGAGAATCAGCCTGATGGACTTTTCCGAAACAGCAATGATCCAACTCACCTCCACTTCCCCATCTCTTCCCAGAACGGGTCATTTCGAAATGTTCCTATTTTTCTGCAAGCCACCACCCTTCCTAGCACATCAGGTTCCTGGACAGCTGGGTGGGGCGTGTTTTTTCAAACCTCTGGCGATGGCAAGCCCACTGGCTTCATGCTGCTCTGTGGCACATGCGACCTGCCTCCCCTCAAGCCCTGACCGTGTGTTCAGCAAGCCAGGAGAAGACCTCGCGGCATCTACCTGCGCGATTCAACAGTCACCGCCTTGCGTGCGCTTCTCTCCCTCACCTGGTACAGCCTCCCTGGGCTCTGTGACTGGGGTGGCGGTCAGTGAGCACAGAGGGGCTATTGGCGCCTACCCTCTCTGATGATTTCCTCAATCATGGCTGTGCTCGCTCAGTCCAAACCTCCCCATGATCAGGCTTAGTGGTTTTGAAAATAGCTCTGGTTTATCTGTTCTGTGCTAACAGGAATTGCATTTTTCAGCTCATTGTCAGTTCTCCCCCCTGCAAACTTCTGCTGGCCTCCAGCCACCTGGGATGGCTCACCTTGCACTGCCTCGCTGCCTGTGATCAAGGGCGTCACTGGGTGGGGGTGTCTGTGCACAATCGTCTCCTCTGCATGTTTGTCTATCGTTTTAAACAAAAAGCCACACATGCTGTATGAGTAATTCTATTTTCCTTGTCTCGATACTTTATTGTGAAAAATTCCCCATTGTTGTTGAAGATCGTCATCATATCCTTTGTGTTTTAAAACATGTATTGTAGCATTAAACCATTACACATAACTTATTTGGCCATTTCTTATTTCTTGCCATTTGCAATATTTTTAATATTATGCTATCGTAAAAAATTCTATGATGAATCTCATGTGCTGGACATCTTTGTGTAGTGTCAGGATCACTTGCTGTCAGTGTTCATCTGATAAACATCGATTGCTGGCCATGTAAATGAACAGGAATAGTCATTTGTTGTGCTTGGCCATTCGGATCTCAGGGCTGTTGGTTATCAGTTCTATTAGGGTACTTTACAAAGTTTGTGAGGGCAGCCATTCAGTCTAGAACTCAGATGCCCGAGTGCCACATTGGAGTGCCAAGTTCAAAACCTGGCTCTGGCTCCTGCTAATGTAGACGCTGGGAAGCAGTTATGATGGATCAATTCAGTGTGTTCCTTCCACCTGTAAGGGAGACCTGAATTCAGTCTTCACTCTGGTCCAGTCCTGGTTATTGTGAGCATTTGTGGAGTGAGCCAGTGGATGGGAACACACACACACGCTCTCTCTCTTTCTTTCTCTCTCTCTCTCTCTCTCTCTCTCTCAAATTTGAAAAAACAATTAGAGGAAACCAGAATTAAAAGAGAAGTTTATTTTTGTGAAAAAGGTTTTTTGAAATGTGTGCATATGAGAAATCCTCAAGGAGTTCATGGAAAGTCTGTCTTATGAAAAATCTATGCATGGACTATGTCTTTTTACAAGGTTGCTAAATGACAAGGTGTCAACGGTTCAAATTGCAGCCCATACTAAAGCTTTCATGGAGGGGAGGCCAGATCAGCAGAGCTCCTACGTACCTACTGTGCTCACAAGTGATGCTCTCTGTTCCTGCTCGTGGGAGAGCCAGAGACGTGATCCCACCTACCTATAGAGGAGGTGGGGTGTGTTTGTCTACCTGCCTAACGCGGAAGAGGAAAACATGTTGGTGTGCGGTGAGAATATATCTCCCTGTCCAAAGGTAGGATTTTTACTTACAATGGATATCCTGGAATGAGAGGTGTTGAGTTTGGCCACTAATATTTTTTCTTCCTAGCATATACCATTCCTATAGTCTACCAGGTTGTTTTTATTTTTAATTCAAAACTTTTATTTTCATTGTATTTGAAAGGCGGAGAGAGAAAGAAAGAGCAAGAGAGTGAGAGAGTGAGCGAGAGAGATCTTCCATGTGCTGGTTCACTCACCAAAATGCTTGCAACAGCCAGGGCTTGGTCAGGCTAATGCCAGCAGCCCAGAATTCCATCTGGCCTCCTAGGTGGGTGGCAGAGACTCCAGTACCTGAGACATCAGCTGCTGCCTCCCAGAGTGTGCATTAGCAGGAAGCCGGGTCAGAGCTGGGGTAAGTGGGCTTTGAACAAGGCACTCCTATATGGGAGGCAGGCATTGCAAGCAAGAACTTAATCCCTTGCACTATAGCACTGGCCCCCTCCTAGTTGTTTTAATTGTGGAAATTACATTTTTAATAAACATTTGTGTTTCATTTTTAGTGAGAATAATGATTCTTTTAGGATTTTTATTATTCGTTTGTAATTTTACAAGTGTTTAATAGACTTACAAACAAATTAAGCTGAGAACCCTCTGAGTATACTTTGCTCATTGAACCTTCAGAGTTTAAATTTTTATTTAAAGACGTATTTACTTGAGGGAGAGGGAGAGGGAGAGGGAGAGGGAGAGGGAGAGAGAATGTAGAGATGCTACCCACTGGTTCACTTGTCAAATGCCCACAACAGCTCTTGGTTGAGCCAGGCTGAAGCTAGGAAGCGGGAGCTCAATCCAGGTCTTCTGTGTGGGTGGCAGGGACCCAATTACCAGAGCCACCAGCTGCCTGCCTTGCAGAGTCCTCCCTGCTTGCGGAGTGAGGAGATGGACGGAGCTGGGAGCTGGGGTTAGGACCCAGGTACTGGAATATGGGATACGGGGGTCTTAGCTAGAATCTTAGTCAGCAAGCCAAATGCACCCCCACCACCACCACTTTGCATTTTCTTTCTTTCTTTTTAGAATTTAGAGTTGAAAAGGTTTTTTTTTTTTCTTTTTTGACAGGCAGAGTGGACAGTGAGAGAGAGAGACAGAGAGAAAGGTCTTCCTTTGCCGTTGGTTCACCCTCCAATGGCCGCTGCGGCCGGCGCACCGCGCTGATCCATCCGATGGCAGGAGCCAGGTGCTTCTCCTGGTCTCCCATGGGGTGCAGGGCCCAAGGACTTGGGCCATCCTCCACTGCACTCCCGGGCCACAGCAGAGAGCTGGACTGGAAGAGGGGCAACCGGGACAGAATCCGGCGCCCCGACCGGGACTAGAACTCGGAGTGCCGGCGCCACAAGGTGGAGGATTAGCCTATTGAGCCGCGGCGCCGGCCTTAGAGTTGAAAAGTTTTAAAACAGTTGGTCATCGCAGTGGCCCTGGTGCCGCTCACCCAAGGCCATCATTGATCGGAGTGAGATCTGCCCCACAGCCTCCTGCATCTTGGAACTTCGGATGAGTTTCGGTTCTCTCTCTGTAGCAAGGCTGCAAATAGGATCCTCTAACGAAAGCCCACTCCATGTTGTGTGGGTGCTGGGAGAGGAGTGGAAAGCTTAGTCATGCCCAGTGGCTTCTGCAGATGATCTGGTTTGGGTGGTCAGGGAATGGCAGCAGTGAGAAGAAACTCTGTTTATTCTCCAGGAGAGTGCAATACAAACATTTAATTTTGGGGCCAGTGCTATGGTGTAGCGGGTTAGGTTGCTGCTCGCAGTATTGGTATCCCATATGAGTGCCAGTTCGAGTCCTGACTGCTCCTCTTCCTGTTTAGCTCCCTGTTAATGCACCTGAAAAAGCAGCAGAAGATGGCCCAAGTCCTTGGGCCCTGGTACCCAAGTGGGAGACCTGGAAGAAGCTTCTGGCTACTGGCTGTGGTCTGGCCAAGCTCTGGCCATTGCTGTCATTTGGGGAGTGAACCAGTAAATGGAAGATGTCTCTCTCTCTCTCTTTCTTTCTCTCTCTCCTCCTCCTCCTTGTGCTCCTCCTCCTCTTTCTCTAATTCTGCCTTTCAAATAAGAATAAATATTTTTTAAAAAGACAGAAAAATTTAATTTTAAAAGATACTCTAAAAGAAGCATGCATGGCTAAATATAGAAATCAACATCTTCTCACACTCATGGAATTCAGCAGATGCCTCCAAAGACTTCGGGAAATAGAACTCCCCAGTAGAGGCTGATTGTTACCAGACAACTCAACGGCTAAGAGAATCTACTGAAAAAGGACGGAATGATCTAAAGCCCAACCGGAAGAGCACAGGTGCTATGTGCAGGCATACCTAGAACATGTATAGCGATGAACCAGGTCCAAACCCACAGCAAGTGTTTAATAGACTTACACAGAGAGAGTGAAAATCACACAGGCGTGGTTTTCTGCTTATACCAAAGTGAAGGTGAGAAACCACTCAGTACATGTGATGCACATATGTTGTTGGGTTCAGTCGATTCTCCAAATAGGCAGGTGCTGCTTTTGTGGTTTGGACCAACCCGGGATTGAAAATCCTGGAAATAATTGCACCTGTTCTGAAGTGTGCAGAGATGTTTCTTATCATGCCTCCCAACAATAACTGTAGTAGCTACCTACACAGTATTTAAGTTGTATTAAGTACTACGAGTAACCTAGAGATGGTTTAAGGTGTACTGGAGGATATGCAGAACCATCCCACACAGATACTGAGGGACAGGAGCCTATGCATCAGACACGTATCTATTTAGAACGAAAGGGTGAAATGTTATATACTAAAATGTTGGGGAGGCAGCTGAACTAGTCTCTGGAGAGGAATAAATATTTATATTAGAGAACCAGAAATGCTCAAATGTAATGAGCTAATCACTAAGTTCAGGAGGCAATAAAAACTTTAAAAAATGATGAAAACTGAAGCATGTAGAAGGAAAGAAATAAGGGGGAAATGTATAAAAGAGAAAACATAAAACTAAGAAGATTATATTGATAAATCTCATAGTTAGTTCTGCAAAACAGCAAATAGAAGAAACAAATGGTTAAAATATACTGAAAGGGAAGACTAAGGGCCTTACAGTGCATTGGGTTAGGATACCCCATGCAGCGCCAGCACCCCCGCCCATGCCACACACACACACCATGTGAGTGCCTATGTGAGTCCCGGCTGATCCACTTCTGGTCCAGTTACCTGCTAATGTGCCTGGGAAAGCAGAAGATGATGACCTGAGTGCTTTGGGCACCTGCACCCAAGTGGGAGACCCAGAAGAATCTCCTGGCTCCTGACTTCTGCCTGGCCCAGCCCTGGTTGTTGTGGCCATCTGGGGAGTGAACCAGCAGATGGTGGATCTCTTTCTTTCTCTGTCTCTTTGTCTCTCTGTAACTCTGCCTTTCCAATAAATAAATAAACGTTCAAAAATAAAAGTTAAAACTAAATGCACCATTTATAGTAGTAACAAAAATACATGGCAGCTATAGATAAATACACCAACAGCTGTGAGAAGTCTTCATAGATGGAATTTCTTTTTTTGTGTGGCTTTTTTTTTATTTAGTAAATATAAATTTCCAAAGTACAGTTTATGGATTACAATGGCTTCCCCCCCCATAATTTCCCTCCCACTCGCACCTCTCCCATCTCTCGCTCCCTCTCCCATTCCATTCACATCAAGATTCATTTTCAATTATCTTTATATACAGAAGATCGATTTAGTATATATTAAATAAAGATTTCATCAGTTTGCACCCACACAGAAACACAAAGTGTAAAATACGGTTTCAGTATTAGTTATAGCATTACTTCACATTGGACAACACATTAAGGACAGAGATCCCACATGAGGAGTAAGTACACAGTGACTCCTGTTATTGACTTAACAATTTGACACTCTTGTTTATGGTGTCAGTAATCTTCCTAGGCTCTAGTCATGAGTTGCCAAGGCTATGGAAGCCTTTTGAGTTCGCCAACTCCAATCTTATTCTGACAGGGTCATAGTCAAAGTGGAAGTTCTCTCCTCCCTTCAGAGAAAGGTACCTCCTTCTTTGATGGCCCCATTCTTCCCACTGGGATCTCACTCGCAGAGATCTTTCATTTAGGTCTTCTTCTTCTTTTTTTTTTTTTTTCCAGAGTGTCTTGGCTTTCCATGCCTAAAATACTCTCATGGGCTCTTCAGCCATATCCGAATGCCTTAGGGGCTGATTCTGAGGCCAGAGTGCTGTTTAGGACATCTGCCATTCTATGAGTCTGCTGTGTATCCCGCTTCCCATGATGGATTGTTTTCTCCCTTTTTGATTCTATCAGTTAGTATTAGCAGACAATAGTCTTGTTTGTGTGATCCCTTTGACTCTTAGACCTATCAGTGTGATCAATTGTGAACTGAAATTGATCACTTGGACTAGTGAGATGGCATTGGTACATGCCACCTTGATGGGATTGCATTGGAATCCCCTGGCACGTTTCTAACTCCACCATTTAGGGCAAGTCCAATTGAGCATGTCCCAAATTGTACATCTCCTCCCTCTCTTATTTCCACTCTTATATTTAACAGGGATCACTTTTCAGTTAAAATTCAAACACCTAAGAATAATTGTGTGTTAATTACAGAGTTCAACCAATAGTGCTAGAAGAAAACAAAAAAAAATACTAAAATGGATAAAGTATTACATTGTACATCAACCGTCAGGACAAGAGCTGATCAAGTCACTGTTTCTCATAGTGTGCATTTCACTTCAACAGGTTTCCCCTTTGGTGCTCAGTTAGTTGTCGCCGATCAGGGAGAACATATGATATTTGTCCCTTTGGGACTGGCTTAATTCACTCAGCATAAGGTTTTATAGATGGAATTTCAAGATGTTCTTCCAGTACAGGAAAGAAGACTTGGATGGATAGGGCAGTGTGAGCTCATGGTTGGAGGAAAAGACTAAAAAAATGTCCATTTTCCCAAATTATTTCAAGAATTCATTGATATTTCAAATAGTATTCATATTCAACAGAAATAAGTTTTGGAAATTTAACAAGTTTATCAGAAACTTATCAGAAGAAGAAATAGCAAAGAATAATGGGTATTGATCAAGTGGGGAAGATTTGCTTATTATTTTTGTAAAATACAAATACTACTAATAAGGAAAATGATAGCAATAATAATAATAGGTTGAGGGCATGGAAGAGAGAATTTGGAAATGGACCAGAGCCTATTGGAAAATTGATGTATGAGGGGCCTTCAAAAATTTCTTGGAAATGCATATTATGAACAACTCTTCATATTTTTGATTTTGGTTTTTTGCACCAAAATAGACTTATCTTTCTATCCCATTTTCTATGAAGTTTTTGAAGTGCTCTTGCATGACAGACATGGACTTACAAATTAGAGAGAACACAATGAACCGTTCAATCTATTCTGGCAAAGAAAGTGTTGGGGAAAATAAAATTCTCTGTCTCACATGGTAGCCAAATATAACTCCAAGTGGATTAAAGAACCTAAATATGAAAAGCAAAATTTTAAAGAAATATCAAAGTATATATGGAAGATATTTGTGATCTTAGTTTTTTTTTAAGATTTTTTTTTTATTTACTTGAAAGGTAGAGACAGAGGCAGAGAGAGATCTTCTACCCACTGGTTCCCTCCCTACATGGCTTCAACAGCTAGGGCTAGGCCAAGCCAAAGCCAGGAGCCTGGAACTCCATCTGTGTCTCCCATGTGGATGGCAGGGGCCCAAGCACTTGAGCCATCTTCTGCTGCCTTCCCAGGCCATAGCAGAGAGCTGGACTGGAAGAAGAGCAACCAGAACTCGAACCGGCGCCCATATGGGATGCTGGCACTGCAGGCGGCAGCTTTACCAGCTACGCCACAGCGCCCACCCCGATCTCAATTCTTTGAATATATTCCCAGAAGTGGGATTGATGGGTCCTAAGATAGTCCCACTTGGAGGGTTTTTTTTGTTTTTGTTTTTAAGAACCTCCATGCTTTTTTCCACAGGGGCTGCACCAGGTTACAATCCCAGCAAGAGTTTACAAGGATTCTGATCCCTCCACATTCTCATCAACTCCTGCTATCCTTTTCCCCCACAACACTCATTAAAAATTGCGTGAGTCCTTTGGTGTGATTTTGATGTGCCATTGAACACCTTTTCTGTGTATTTGTATGTTGTATATTGACTTGCATGTCTTCTTTGCAGAAATACCTGTTTAATCTCCACTCTCACTTTCAAATTGGGTTATTTTTTCTTTTCTGGGAGTTCCTTGGCTGTCTTGGTTATTAACCTCATCAGATACGCGGTGTGCAAATGTTTTCTCCTCTTCCATGGACTACCTGCTCCCTGGGTTCCTTTGTTGTGCAGGTCTTCGGTTTCTTGCAGTCCCACTTGTCTGTGTTTGCCTCTATTGCTGGTGGTTTTTGAACCTAACCAAGCACTCATTGGCACCATCAATGCAAGGGAACGTTTCCTCCTTTTTCTTCTAGTTTTATAGTTTTTGGCCCTACACTGAAGTCTTTGAACCATTTCGAGTTGACTTTTTTAATATGATATATGACAAAATTCCAATTTTATCCTTTTGGTTTTTGAATATCCAATTTTCCCAAGGCCTTTGTTGAGGAGAATATCACTTTCCCATTGTGTATTCTTGGCACCACTGTCCCAGATGACTTGCCTACATAGCTGTGAGTATATTTCTGGGCTTTCTATTCTGCTCCTTTGGTCTATATGTTTCCCATGCTGGTCTCATGCTTTTTAAGACCATAGCTTTGTAAAATGTAACTGGTACTTTTTCTTTCACAAGATTGCTTTGGCTATTTGGATACTTTTGTGATTGCATCTGAATTTTAGGATTGCCTTTTTCTATTCCTGTAAAGAATACTGTTGGCATTTTTACAGAAATTGCATTGAATCTATGGGTGGTTTTGGCTAGTTACAGATATTTGAACAGTATTAGTCTCCCTATCCTGGTACAGAGGGTGCCTTTTCGTATATTTGTATTCCCTGAATTTTTTAAAAAATCAATATTTTGTAGTCCTCAGTGTGCAAATCTTTTCCCTCCTTGGTTAAATTTCTTCATAAGTGCATGCATTTTATCCTTCTAATGCTATTGCAGATGGGATTTTTTCCTACCGTTCCACTTTAGATAGTTTGTTTCTAATGTAGAGAATACAAATTATTTTTGTATGTTGACTTTATGTCCTGAAAACTTACTGAATGCATTTATTAGTTCTAACCATATTGCTGTTATTGAGTCTATTGTATTCTCTACAAGTGAGATCATGTCATCTGCAAACAGATAATTTTACTTCTTCCTTTCCAACTTGGATGCCACTTATTCCTTTTTCTCGTCTAACCTCCCTGTCTAGGACATCCAGTTGTATGTTGCATAGAAAGTAAAAGTGAGCATGCCCACCTGAACCCTGATCTCATATAAGGAACTTGGCACTTTCTCCTTTACTTCAATTTTTTGTAAGTGATTTAAGGCAGGCTGCTGCCCTTCCTTCTACGAATGGTTGGTAGAATTCATCTGTGATGACACTCAGTTCTGGATTTTCTTCTGAGAAGGTGTTTGACAACGGATTTGATCTCTTCATTAGTTATTTTTTTATTTTTTATTTTATTATTTTTTTTTTTGACAGGCTGAGTGGACAGTGAGAGAGAGACAGAGAGAAAGGTCTTCCTTTGCCATTGGTTCACCCTCCAATGGCCGCCGCGCTGATCCGATGGCAGGAGCCAGGTGCTTCTCCTGGTCTCCCATGGCGTGCAGGGCCCAAGCGCTTGGGCCATCCTCCACTGCACTCCCTGGCCACAGCAGAGAGCTGGCCTGGAAGAGGGGCAACCGGGACAGAATCCGGCGCCCCGACCAGGACTAGAACCCGGTGTGCCGGTGCCGCAAGGTGGAGGATTAGCCTATTGAGCCACGGCGCCGGCTTCTTCATTAGTTATTGATGTGTTCAAATTTTTCATTTCTGGGCCCGGCATTGTGGCATAGTGGGTAAAGCTGCCACTTGCAATTCTGGCGTCCCATATGGGCGCCAGTTCATATCCTGACTACTGCACTTTCGATCCAGCTGCCTGCTAATGGTCCAGGATAGAGTGGAAGATGGCTGGAGTGCTTGGCTCCTGTACCTGTGTGGGAGCACTAGATGCAGCTCCTGGCTCCTGGCTTTGGCCTGGCCCAGCCCGGGCCTTTGTAGCCATCCGGGGAGTGAACCAGCAGATGGAAGATCTCCCTCTCTCTCTCTCTCTCTAACTCTTTCAAATAAATAAATAAATCTTAAAAATTTTTATTCACTTCTTCATGATTCAGTCTTGGGATTGTATGTTTGAGATTATTCAGTTTGATGGCATGTAACTATCTGTATTATTCTCTTATGATTCTTTTTTATTTATATCAATTATAATGTTCCCTTTTTATTTCTGATTTTATTTAATTGAGTTTTCTCCTTTTATTTCTTAGTCTATCTATGGGATTCATAATTTTGTTTATCTTTTCAAAAAAATCAACTCTTTTTTTTCTCTTGTATTTCTATTCTCTGATTTGTTTAGTTCTGCTCTGATCTTTTTTTTTTTAGAAAAAAGATTTTATTTATTTATTTGAGAGGTAGAGTTACAGACAGTGAGAGGGAGAGACAGAGAGAAAGGTCTTCCTTCCATTGGTTCACTCCTCAAATGGCCACAACAGCCAGAGCTACGCCGATCCGAAGCCAGGAGCCAGGTGCTTTCTCCTGGTCTCCCACGTGGGTGCTGGGGCCCAAGGACTTGGGCCATTTTCCACTGCTTTCCCAGGCCATAGCAGAGAGCTGGATAGGAAAAGGAGCAGCTGGGACTAGAACCAGTGCCCATATGGGATGCCGGCGCTGCAGGCGAGGATTAACCTATTGCATCACAGAGTTGGCCCCCCGATCTTTCTATTTCCTTCTTTTTAATAACTTTGGGCTTTTTTCTACTTTTGTTTCTAGTTCTTTGATGTATAAAGTTAGCTAGGTTGCTGATTTGAGTTCTTTCTTCTTTTTTTATGTAAGCACTATAAGTTTCCCTCTTGGAGCAGCTTTTGGTGCATCCCATACGGTTTGCATCCTGTATTATCATTTCATTTGTCTTGAGATATTTTCTAACTGCCTTGGATTTCTTTGACCCAATGATTACTCAAGGGTATATTAATTTCCACCTATTTGTGAATTTTCCGGGTTTCCTTTCTGTTCTTGATTTCTAGCTTCATTCCATTGTTGTCTGAAGAGAGATTTGGCATGATTTCAGTCTTCTTAAATTTGTGGAAACCGGTGTTTTTACCTAGTGTGCAGTGTATCCTAGGGCATGTTCCATTTGAACTTGAGAAGAATATGTATTTCTCTGCTGTTGGGTGGATTGTCCTGTCTCTCTAGGTCTACTGGGTTCACCTCGTCTCCAGTGCTGTGCACGTCTGCTGTTTCCGTATTGACGTTCTGTGTGGCTGTTCTGATTAGGATTGGATGTGGGATATTGCCATCCACTTCTCTCTCCCTATCGGTTGGTCCACATTTGCTTTATGCATGTATGTGCTCAGGTTTTGTGTGCATCTGTATTTGTATTTGTTGTGACTCGTTTATCATTATATAGTCACCTTTGTCTCCTGTGGTGGGTTTTGACTTATAGTCTACTGCTGATGTAGGAAAAAGAATAGCAGACAACAAAGCTTCTGCTGAGAGGCAGAGCCCAAGCAAACAGAGAAGCCTGCCACACACACACACACACACACACACACACACCGGCTCCCTGATGACTCAGCTGTAGAAAGGCAGGCGATTTTTTCACAGGTGGGCTTGATTGCTGACAACCTGGTAATGGTCTTTGGCAACACGTCTACTCACTCCACTCAACTAGATGGTTAACAATTACTGATAAAGCACAAGGGCTTCTTGTGAAGTTTTGAAAGGGACTCAGAATGAAATTTGAGTATGGCAGTAGCTTGCAGAAAAAAAAAAAAAAACCAGCACATCATTTCCTCTCCTGATGAATTAGATTTGAACTTTACAATAAAGGAAACCAGTTTGGTTTCTTTCTTCTGAAGTCCCTCTTATCCCGATGCGATCTTCATGGTGCAGAAAGTGAAAGCTGCATTTTCAGAGAGGTCTGTGTGCAGTGGTTTGAAACAAAACGTGGTGGTGCCATGTGAATCTACGGCTCACTCCACGCATGACAGCAGCCATGTCACTCCACTCGTGCCTCAGTGCCCTGCTCCGTCCTACAGGGTGACAACCCTCCTGGGGCCATTGTCAAGATGAACTGAGTGAAAATAAAGTGTTCAGTTCAGAGCCTGTGGTCGAGCAGCACTTTATAAACGCGTGTCACTCTAATTTCATTTCCAGCTACACTGGCGGACTTAAGCTCCAATTTTATAATTGCTCACATTGGAGGTAAGCAAGATATTTTATAATAGTACTTTTTAAAATATTTATTTTATTTATTTGAAAGGTGGTGAACGTGTGTGTGTGTGTGTGTGTGTGCGTGTGTGTAAGAGAGAGAATCTCCCATCCACTGGTTCACTGCTCAAGGGACTGAAACAACCAGGCCAGGGCCAGGCTGAAGCCAGAGGCCAGGAGCCTGGGGCTCCATCCAGGTCTCCCACATGGGTGGCAGGGGCCCAAGCACTTGGGCCATCTTCTGCTGCTTTCCCAAACACATTATTAGCAGGGAGCTGGATCAGAAGTGGAGCAGCCAGGACTTGAACCAGCATCCCAATATGGGATGCTGGTGTCCCAAGCAGCGGCTCAACATGTTGTGCCACAATGCTGGCCACATACAATAGCCTCTTTAAAATGAGACATCTTGATTCGACGGAATGGGATCCTGGGACCCTTCCAAAGCTGCAGGTGTCTAATTCAAAGACTGTGCTACTAACTGAGAGGGGTTTCCCCACGATTTGTGGGAGTTCCTGGATGACTACTTCATGGTGTAAGAGAAAAAAAGAAAAAAAAAACACAGAGTTCGAGGGTGGAGAACTAACTTTCTGGATACGGAGCAATTTGAAACAGGAAACCTGAAATTCCTGCAACATCTCAGAACTCATCATTTAAAAATAGGACATCTGCTTTTACTGTGCCCCAGATACTGTAGGACGGGCTAAAAA